TTGTCAGCGACGACTTATATGTAAATCTCCAATGTTGTCAAATGGACACAGTCCTTAACAAGAAATGTCAAAAGTGTTTGTCAGTTGGCTTCCAGATGCCATGCCATGCTCCATTAATCTGCTGCACCACTCGGTAAGTCTCTGTAGATTCTTACTGGCCCCAGGGAGAGCGCTGTTAAATCATGTGGATAGCAAAGCACACCTAGATGACCCACACCTATGTCCTTTCCTGCCTTCCGTAGAAGACAGGACTTACCATTACTTACCTCAGTTCCTTCTCTGAATCCTGAACTGTGTTTCCTGGAAGTATCTTCTGTCGGTTTCTTCCTGGAAAGAGAGTTCTTTTATTCTCAGATATAGAAAAGAACAAGAACTTTGCAATGCAGCAAACATGGAAAATATGATTTCTCATGACTCTGTGGCATTGCCACTCTCACATGACTGTGTCACACTGACCCATGCATGATCTTCTTGTCCCTTGAAACTCTTATACCTACTTCATTTGCCTTCTTCTATGGCTAATTTCTTTCAGCTTTTTATGAGGATACAGCCTACCTAAGAGAGACACTTGGACTCTGTTTCAAAGATGTTTGAATCAGCCTGATTAGTTATGGTCTTTGTTTCAGAATAAACACTGAGCACACTAGTTAATCGATGTCCTGCCTCACAGTGGGTGGTTTTGCTGTTTCTTTCAGGTCACATATGACCTCATTTGTGTCATGGATAATTGATGCCATTTGGTGGCCAAGTGAATTGCTTTTATTGTCGTGAAAAAAATCTATACCGTTAAACTCATTCACTTTCTCATCAAGTATTAACTAACACCTTCTAGTAACCACAATCTTCTGGAGGTAGGAGATACAACAGGACAAGGACCTGTCCATTTGTCCTTGAGGAGCCAAAATTCTAGTGACAGTTTGGAATTGACACTCTCAGTGGAAACTGTAAGCTGATTACCTCTCCCATCTTTCAGGGAGCACTTATTTGTGAGATGAATTTACTTTAGTCTTATTACAGAAGAGTTATAAATAGTCAGCTGTTATTTTTTAAAATAATACATCAGTGCATCATGAAAGATAAATAATAGGAAAATAGTTGAGCACAAAAGGGTCACAGATTCTTCTCCATTTATATTCAGCTCTTCTCAAAGAATAGAGTAAGAGTATGGGAAAATTGTATGTAGGCTGTTAACTGATTTGGCATTAGCAAGGTCCTTTAAATTGTTAATTATAATGTAATGCATTGTGGTGAATTAGTTCCAATCATGTCAACTGTTTCTGAGCATTCTAGTAGGGACCCAAAGCCAGGAGAATCTGAATGTGCACACGAAGACCATCAATTATATAGGTTAACCAGAAGTACACTACATTCTGCATGTTGAAGATCTGAGTTTCATCCATAGTGCATTAAGAATAGTATGGTCATTTAATTTATTTTTCAAACCAGGGAAATATGCTGTGATAAGAATATAAAAAGTGGACATCTTGAATAAATCAAAACTCTTATCAATTTTGCTGTGGATATTGGATGGAAAAGGGATGTCTTGCACACACCAGGGTATCTGTTCACCTCAACTCAGGGGACATCACACCACCTAATTTTTGGCACTTGGAAACAGTAAATTGTAGGACTACCATTCTATTTCCACATTTCAGACTCATCACCAAGCAAGTTCATCATAAATAGGTTAAATGATGTCTTACTAATGCTTTCATGAAATAATTCTTTCACTAACTCCTCTTCCACAATGGAATGGGAGAGATTAGACCCTTGTTAAAAAGGTTAAGGGGATTTAAAGAACTTCAGTCTCTAATCTTTAGCTCTGATAGACTCAAGACCCTAAGAATAATGGGGATAGTTTACTGAGTCACTTGTTATTTATGCACCTTTGGATGTACATGGTCAGTTGTTAGGGCAGCTCTACCTAGAAGATGATGATACTTACTATGTCAAAGAAACTAGCATTCACAGAGTCACTAAATTGTCAAAGGGGTGCTGTGAGCAAGGACAGACTATCTGAACTGAAAGTCATATCTGCCTGGTTTCTTCTCATTATGTTTTAATGTTTCTGTACTGAAACTCATAGCAGGAAACTCAAAGATACAGGAGATCTGTTCTCAAGGTGCTGCATGGTTGGGGCTCTGGTATTCCCCTACTTCTTCCAGCTCCCTTCCACACGGGACGCTCACATCTGCAGAAACATGGACGACAGTGAGTGCCTCTTATGTTCTAAAGCAATTTTGGAGTCTCCTATGCGCTCTGCTCCCTGCCTCACTCCGTCCCTCCCCACCTCCAGCCTAACCCTGTGACGCTCAGGCTTTAAGGACTAGCTCGCTGAGTCTCTTCTAGGAAACCCTGTTGATAACCTTGGTCTGGCTAACTGCAGCTATTTCCACGTTTCTACCCCACTCACGACAGCTTCTGTCTTATACTTTGCCAGATCTTTTAAAATCATTTATGTTTCTATCATCTTTAATAAGCTTTAGTAGGGCAGGGATTATGTTTTATTCAGGCTTTAACTTCTCCATGTCTTATGTTTCTCACCTTCAAAATAGAGACTATAATAGTACTAATCTTAAAGAATTTTATGAAGATAATATTCATTCAAATATTTGGAGTCCTTTTCATAGAGCCTGGTACATAGTAGGCCCTTAGTAGTATTAGCACAAAATTATCATCGCTGTTATTTGTTATCATGGTGCCTGTAGTCAATATACAGTGGAGCACACAAAAACAGGTACACTAAATGGTATTAACTCATCCACAGCATGGTAGTCTTTTGCATGTTCAAGATACTTTTATAGACTCAAAAAATGATTCGGGGGCCCAGAGGGCATTTTTTAGTAAAAGAAATGAAATGTAAGATTTGGACATGTGAATATTTGTGGTATTAGTATGAGGTAGATACATGCCAGTGATAATTATGTAAGCAAGGATCTTCTGAGGCAGAGGTTTTCTTAGGACAATGTAATAGTGCCTGTTGTCAAACAGTAAAACTTGGAAATGAAGAGAAGGCCTGGAATATCAGACCTCAAACTCTACATCAAATCAGATTTGTTTTCTATTTAATAAGACATCTGGGCTTTAAAATTTATGAATAAAAGAATAAAAATTCATAAACCAGGAGGCTCTGTGGTTGTCATTTACCATAGAGATGAGAAAGGGATGATATAAAAATCATGCCAGAAAAGGTGGATTCTTTCTCTCTCCGAGCCAGGACCCTCACTGTCCCAGCCTGGTTCTGGCCCACTGTTCACTCTTACCAAGTACGCTTCCTGTCTTTTAGTTTCTTCATCCATATAATAGTAACTATCAAGTCCTCTAAAAGTATCTCTTCTGTTAAAAGTCTGGAGAAGCAATAAATGTGTCATAAGGTGCAGTGTTAAGTGCAGAAATTATTTATGTTCATGACTAGGCTATTGCTCATAAAAAATAGTTTTACTCTCACCTTTAGCCTATTTCCCACACATATAAAACACTGACAGGACCATCCAGAGTTTTATGAGTCTTTCAAACATTTACTGAAACACGCTTTCAGACAGCCTAAAGAATAGGTCCTGTGATGTGGTGCCTGTTTTAACTTCCGAGAGCTGACTGTAAGTGGCTTTGCTAAACTGCTACTGCAGATCCTCAGTGGGACCTGTCCACTAAGAAATGTCTGCGTCTATATGACCAGTAAGATGGGTATCTGTACTCACGGCCCTAAGGCACTGGAAAATCCCAGCATTCGTTCAGTTCTGAATCACCAAAAGTAGATTAAGGTATAGGCATGGAGGGTGCTGGAGGGGAATACATTTTATTGTATTTTAATGTTGTGAAGATCGGGAATAGAAATCTACCTTAGAAGAATTTTTGTGTAATCCAGGTGTGTCTTTAATTTATATATATATTCTAGCCATTTCAGAGAACTGTGCTTTCTGGATTTGTTTTTACGTCTGAAAATAAGATTATTCTTCAGGAATGAATATTTTCTTAGGGAGATTTCAAAGACAAAAAAAATAAAAAATAAAAAAAAATAAAAGCCCAGCATGGTGGTGAACACCAGTAACTCCAGCACTCTGGGAGGCTGAGGTAGGAAGATTACAAGTTGGAACCCAGCCCAGGTATCTTAGTGATTTAGTGAGACCCTATTCTAAAATTAAAAAAAAAAAAAAATAGAGGGAAGGGAAGGGATACAGCACAGTGTGAAGGTCCTAGGTTCAATCCCCAGTATCATAAAATTAAATAATAAATAAGCTGACAGAGCACGTTTCTCCTTGTTCAACATTTTACATATAAACTAAATATTGTGTGGGGTTTCAAAGATTTCTGATGTGAAGGTAGCACATGAAGAGATTTTTGGTTTGCTGTCTTTCCCTGGAGTCTTAAGAAGAAGACTTCCTCTCCCACTCCATGGAAATGACTTCTCTGGAGGAAGGTCTTACTGTGAACCAGGGGCGTCTCATCACTGGGGACTTGCTTCTTTGGAGGTGTTGGAGAGAAGCATAAAAAAGAGCCTCAGACGTCCTCGAGCAGTGACCAGTGTCCAGGAGGAGGGAAGGGGGAGGAAGCCAAGGGGATGGCAGGGAGGCCTGGGTGACCGAGTCCGAGTGGCAGAGAAGCCAGAAAGTCAACCTTCGCCAGCCCCGGGACAACTGGTGCACCCCGAGAAACGTGGCAGGACAAGCAGGGAAATGCAAAAGAAAGGAGAAGTGGGAAGTCGAGGCGGGGTGGGGGTGGGCAGACCCCCGGGAAGTGACTGCAGCGACCACTGCCCGGGATTCCAGACCCGCCCTCGCCACTCCCCTCCGCCGGGGGAGCCCCTGCCCAGCTCCCCGGCTCCAGCCCTCCATCCTGGAGATCGTGAGGGACCGGCACACTCCCCAGTCCGATCCAGTTTCTGGGTTGCAGAGGAAAATCCGGTCCGGCGTTTATTTTTAGCAGCGCTTTCCTGCGACCGAAAGCTCGGGCTCCGGGCCGGGATCGCGGAGCACCGCGCCGGGGAGCCGCGGAGGGGGCGGGGAGCGGGAGGCGGCCAGCAGGGGGGGACGCCGTGCGCATGCGCGCCAGCGCCCAGGCAAATCGCTGTCCATCCAGGAGCGAAGTGGGATGATCTGTCACTACACCTGCAGCACCACGCTCGGGGGACAGCTCCTGCTCGCAGCTTCCAGACCCAGGTAAAAATAGTAATAATAATGATGATGATGATGATGATGATGATGATGATGATGATGATGATGATGATTCTGAGCGGGCATTGTGCGTGCGTGTCAATATCAGAGGCGCGTCGCAACCTCTCTCCTGGAGAGGCAATGTGCTGCCCCTGCTGCTGCCGCCGCCGCTAAGTGTCCTTTGGTGGCTTATTGCAGCTTCAAGGTTTAAGAAATCCCATCTTTCAGGAAGCCTGAAGGGAAGGAAGGAAGTACGGGCGAAATCATCAGATTGGCTTCCCAGACTTGGGGATCTGAAGCGGGCCCACATCTTCCGGCCAACTTCTATTGAACTTCCAAGCACTCGAAAGGGACCGAAATGGAGAGCAAAGGTATGTGGCCGTCACCATCGGGAGACTTCCCGGTGCATGTGCGTGTGTGGCCCGGGCAGTCCTCGGCGGCGAGGGGACTGCAGTGCTGGGGAGCCAGCATCATACTAGGTCGATAGGAGGAGAAGCTTTGTCCGTTGCAGCGCCCAGAGTGTGGCAGGAAGACCACTTCTTTTTTTTTAACTCCTACAGCTTAGAAGACTGTGTTTAATACTCCGTCAGTTGCGTAGTGAAGTGTGATGAGGTTTGTTTTTTTTTTTTTTTTTTTTTTTTTTTTTGGTAGGTGGGGGGTGGCGAGGGGAGAGTCCCTCCCAAAATGGAGGGGGAGGAGAAATATGTTGGTAAAGCAATTTCTTTTCTGGATAATGGCTGGGCTCGAATTGTTTTAGGATTGCTGACAGGCACGTTTGTATCTGATAGCCAGTGATGTAGTGCTGAAAAAAATGTTTAAATTTTTCCACCCCCACCATCCCAAGAACATGGTATTTCTGGGTGTGTATGACCACATCTTACTGCATTTCAAATAGACATCAGCCAAAAAATTAGGTCTATTTGAAGCAGCGTGCGTTAGAACTGACCTCTAAGAAGAACAGTGTATCGGAGTACTGCTTGGCTCCCAAACATAATGCATTTACTAGTTCTGGACATGTAGATATTAATATTCTCTTCATAAGCGTTCTGCATAATGCACACACACCAACTGGTACATGAGCTGTACATACCAGCTCTCATATTTAATGCAATACATAAAATGACTGTTTGAACTGTAAGACTGGGTATCTTTTGGATTTAACTCTATCTGTGCGAGGAGTCTCTCTCTCTCTCTCTCTCTCTCTCTCTTTCTTCCTCCTCTGTCTCCTCCTCCTGAAAATGCCCACCAAACTATGAGAGTCTGAATCGATGTGGTCAGATATTCGGTAGGAATATTAGATGTATTTAATTATGGTGAAATTGGGAGAAATGATGTCAACTTTTATGGAACTATATTCATTACCCAGAACTCGAGAAGCTATATTTGAAACGAGGTTTTATTTTTAACCAGGAATGTCAGTCACTGTGGCAATCTACTTAGGATGAGCGAGTGGTGGAGAGTTGCCTATTTCTGGACTGATTAATAAAGCTGGAGTGGTGAATGATAGCAGCTATATGTTCGTGGAGGTGTTTTGAGCGTGTAATCTGTAGGTTTAAAGTATTTAAACCTACATTAGCATTTATAGTATGAAAAGAACTGAATTGATATTGATTAAAATTAGCTGGAAATTAAATTCGTTTAGACAAATTATGTGTAAAGATACATTGCTGGACATTTCTATACCAGACAATGATATACATATATGAGAGAATCCATGTCTATGAACATATATGAGGTTATTAACTGTATCACAGAATCCATTTTAAAATTAAAACCCAGTGTTCATTAACTCATACAAATATGTAATATTGTATTTGACTAAGCATTTCTAAAGAAGAAAGTTAACAGAAAGAGAGAGTATCATTTTGCTATGAAACATTTTTTTTTCATGCTTAGGCAACCCCTTGGTATTTTGTCATTAAATTTGGTTATGTGGCAAGGGATCTTGGTAACATTTTGCCTCCAATTTATGCTCTAATTTCTGGCTCATTATACAATGAATATGTGTCTCTCAGCAACATTGTTTTCTGTTCCTCAATCTCCCATTCAAGAATGCTGCATGCCACTCTGAGTTCCAGGTGGTTTCTATCCCAGATTGCTAGTGTTGAGAGTTTCAGGTCCTCTGCTGGTCTCTAAGTTCAGAAAGAAGGCACTTCAGAAACAAATCTGAGACGAATCATGCCAGAAATTCTGTTAAGCCAGACAACAGTAACATAGTGAATCAACGCTCATACCTAAAGTCAGTGAAGACTTTTGCCACCACCAAGAGTGTGGTGATTGTGCAGAAGGCCTAGAACTGCACGGCACAAAAGATACACTGACAGTCTTTGTGCACCTTAGACCCTGGACTTCTTTCACAGAGCTGTGTTCCTCAGTTAGCTGGTACAATGGGGGTACCTAATTATTTATCCACCTGCCTCACTAAATCAATGCATATGGTACAGCTAAAAACTATCTCTAAGGTGAAAATTTTGAGGGGAGGGCATTAAGTACTTCATGTCTGTATCCCATTCTAATTTGTGCCTTTTTTATGCTTTATGCTATGTACAAACTTTATCCAAAATATCAAAATATAAATCTAAGAAGAGATTCTCAATTGTAAGTACATATAATTATTTTTTTTCAGACATTCTTTTTAGATAGTCAAAGAGCCATTGAGTAATTCGGTAATCCCAGAACAAATTCAAATGATCTATTTAATCAGGAATCATGTCACCAGCGTCAGATGACCTCTACATTTTCTTTAGCATTTGAAAAATCTTCCTTAGAGCACAGGTTCAGAGTATCCAGCCAGGTGAACTTTAGTTAGGTACAAATAAGATCCTTATTATTTATTACTTTAGCTCCCTCCCTGCCACTAAGGGAAAAAGAGGAAAATACATCAATTAATGATCGATTTCAGTGATCTTCATGTATCACCATAATTATTTTCTCAAAGATTTGGATTATTTGCATAATTGAAGGCAAGTGTGACAATTATATACTACAGGTTCTAAGGATTTGAGGTTCTTAAATAACAAAGTGTTTAGATCAGTTGCTCACAAACTTTGTTGAATATTAGAACACCTGGAATGTTTTTAAACACCTTCATGCAGAGTCACTCTGTTCCAGTGGTGGTCAACCCAGGGCACATATGTCACAGTGAGTTGTTTGTATCAGTAAAAGCTCTAAAACATTTGCCATCACTGCTCTACATCAATTAAATTAGAATTTTGAAATGGAAAAAAAGAATAAGTATTCATTTATTTATTCTGACATGCTGGCAATTGAGCTCAGGGCCTCATGCATGCTAGGCAAACATCTATTGTTGAACTACATCCCCAGCAGGTATTTTTAAAATGTCCTTAGGTACAACACATTTGAGAACCGTTATTTACACCCTTGGTAATCAAAATGTGGTTTTCAGACTCGATTTTTAAAAACTGCAGACTTTTGATCTTACTCCAGGTGCCTTGGATCAGATTTTCAATGAAATCCCTCGATCATTTGTTAGTACATTAAAATTTAAGAAGCATTAATTTAGCATGAGGAAACATGCTCTGTTGGTCTCTCCCTTCTCTCTTTCCTCCTCTCCTGCTTTTATCAAATCTTTTACTAGCTAGGTTTTCAACCCTGCCCTGGCATATTGCCCATGCAAGCACCTGTAGAACATTTTAAATGTAGGGATGGCTAGGCAACACCCACAGAAGTTGTAGTTTAATTGATTCTGGGTTGGGATCTGGGGATAGATATGTTTAAATAGCTCCGTTAAGGGATGCTAGTGGATACTCACTTAACCACCAATCTTAGGCCTTGATTTCGATTGTCCATAGACCAAAAGCGCTAGCAAAATCTGGACGCTTGTTAGAAATGCAGAAATGCAGGCTACCTCAGACTTACTAAACTGAAGTTTGGATTGCAGAGTTGATCTGACGGTCATTTGTATGCACATTAAAATTTAAGAAGCACTGTTTTTAAGTTGTAGGGAACTGATATAACTGGGAATGACATCACCCCAGATATCTCTGCCGAAAACATTTGATAGCATCTAACTAATCAGTACAGAGTTTAAGGATGTGTGGTCACAGTCTCTGGCTGGTCAAGTTCTCCGGTTGCTTTTGGAAAGAACAGAAATGAACTGGAAAAGAAATTATCTGCCTCACGAATAAAAGAAAACAGAATCACTCTTAAAATCCTCTTTTCTAACTCAGGTCATTTATTTTCAGCCTCCAATTATCTTTAAATATGTATTCTCTAAGTTCATTTTGAACTCCTGATAAGACACTGCCATTAGCCTATGGTTAATGCAATGATATTACTCAAATCAAAATATATCAAAACGATGAATATAGCTTTCACTGTCATATAGCTCTTTTCATTCTTAAGATTCATTTGATGTATTCCTTATTTTCTAGTCTCTTCCCTGAACACCTCCACATGAAATTAATATTTTATTGTTATACCTTCTATGTCATAAGTATTTGCTTGCCCATAATATATTACATTTATTACAATCATCATTGTAATTTTGCAAACTTTATTTAAATAAATATATATTGCATGCTACTATATGCCTGACATGATTAGTTCTGAAAATGCAAAAGCAAAGTGAGCTGTGATTCTCCATCTTAAAGATTTCACTCTCTTAACTCCATTAATAGGTTAGCTTCTTGTGGACAAAATACAAGCCTTTAACATTACTGCAATCACCTCAGTGTCTCCGTCAGATGGAATATTTTAATCTGCACAGTACGGACTCTGATTTTATATGTTTAACCGAGTTGCCTTAGTTATTCATGCATTCATAGGATTGCAAATTGGGAGAGGTGATAGAAGTTTAGTTACCAGGAGGTTTTCCAGAAACATCAGTTTGAGTCCAGAGCACAGAAAGCAGTAACCTAACCTGTTTTTTCAATAGAGACCTGCACATGTGTTTCCCATTAAGAATTAATTTCCAGGCTGGCTTCGAACTCACAGTGATCCCTCTGCCAGGGTCTCCTATCAATCACCAGACGCCAGCCTCAGGCATGATCAATATATATAGAATACAGAAGAGTCATTTCTTATAAGCTTAGATGGTTCAACTTACAGGGCCACATAATCATTAGTTATGTGAAACTATTAGAAGGGGAAAATAATTTTAAGAATTACTTCGTGGCTAAACAATAACAAAACCCTGCAGCCATTGTGGTGGGATAAGTAAACTGTAATGTGGTGGGATAATGATGTAATTGAATGGGCATGGGCACATAAGACTCAGGTTCTAACCTCGGCTTGAAAGATATAACTTTGGATAAATTACTTTCCTTCTCTTGGTTTCAAAATTCTTTGGTTTTGCTTATTATTATTATTATTATTATTATTATTATTGGTACCAGGGATCATACGACCT